CGGTCTGATCCAGGAAACAGTAAACAAGGAGTAAACTTCCCTAAAACAAAATAAAAGGTGTTAATAAAGAATCTGACTTTGCACAATTTAACTTTCGCAGTTTATTCTGACCGACCATAAAAGCGCAATCATGAGTCTTTACCTGCAGTATACATGCGCCCGCGAACAAGTACTGCCACAAGCTCTTCTCGTGATGTCTGACATAAATGGCGGCTACAACCCAGGTTCCCGCGATAGCAATAATGAGGAAAATTAGGAACAAGACTGACAGACTATGGAGAGGAAAACACCGTTGATTAAAAACATCCGAGTAGTTAATATGGAAAGACAGCATTGAACTTTTGACGATCAGTTGATAACTTTTCGGACTCTTGGTGCAAAAGCTTGGATGAAAAACCGACATGGATCTACATTTTTAGAAACTTCAAGAGGTCGTAAACGTTACTAGTACCCTTCCTTGAGATGGAGATAGTTTTCGAATCAAAGAAAATTTATGAGCTGACTATCTTATTCCAATAAACCCCCACAAGTAAAATCAGTGTTGATCATTCGATGAAATGAAATGTTTGGAGAACTAACGAAGTTTTACTTGCATTTGTGAGTTAGTTATGAGGCACTCTGATCGGTTGAAAAAGCTTACGAACGAAGAAATCTGAAGGAAGTAAGAAAGTCGTAGTTCGATTGATGCTTCTAATATTATAAAAATCACCAACAGCTTGATGTTAAACTAACCAGACTTTCCTTCTGTCTTTAGAATCGACAACTCGTCCCTTATAACAAAGAATCATCACTACTAACACGAGAGTAACCTGAAATGGATCATTGTAAACCTGATTTTAGCAGGATTATATCATAAAATAAATACCGAAGAATTTGGATCTTTTTTACTTAATTTTCTTAAAGGATACGATGAAGGTATAGCTATTCGATGTCAAAAAAAAAAAAACGTCTTAAAATGACACTACACGGTCTAAACCTTTTACACTCCAACAACAGTATTGGTGTTCTCCATACTGATCTCTTTATATTTCCAATGGAATTAACGAGGAGAATTTGTTACACAATCAATAGCTTCTTCAATTGACGATCATTTCCTTTAGAAGCTTCTCAAGACCTTAGTGTTTGATTCAGTCGTGATACTGTAAAGAAGAATTAGATGCTAGTCACCCTTAAAGGGTTATAGTGGAGTTGTGTTTCTTCCCTGCTACGCTGTGCGAGATCCCCTTCCAATATGACAAAACAAATTCCACGATGAGTGCAACGATCTCGTGAGTGGCTTACCAAAGTAAATCCAGCGGCTGGACAAACGTACGACCACATTAACACGTGTGAGTAATCTAGCCAACACCTATCCGAAAGGAGATCTTTTATTAGTTTCAGCCTGGGCAGTCTGTGGCTCTTAGGCGCGCGATGGGCGGAGATAATAGTCAGAGGAAGAAAGGGCAGAAAAAATGAAGTAAAAAACTGCGAAACTTCCCTTTTGCTAGATATACCCTGTGGGCCGGTTATCTACTTGAGGTTTAATTCAAATTACGATTTTACATAATCGTGGGTCTCAGGCTTTCTCTACAAGAGGGTTGATTTGATTAAATAAATGTCCTTCCACTGTTAGCTCTCGGCCCTCTTGACACTGTTCACAGATAAAAGGTCCAGCTAAATATAGGATTGTTTACGACGCGGGTTTGTTAAACAACGGCTCAACTTTGTTTAAATTAACGGTCCTGTGTTTTGTCATTCCGCTTCAAAACCAAACAAACAAATAGACGCAAACCTAACACAAGAGACAAAACATGAAAAAGAGTCGAAAGTTTAAGTAAAAGCAGAGAATTTGGTAACTTAAAATGAAGGAAGTAACTGAAATAGGTTTCAATTTTGTTATTTACCGAGGCTCAGTACAGACCTGACAGGACTAAAACTGACATGAAAAAACTAACCATTCATCGTTACCATAACCTTGTAACTGGGTGACGCCGAGAGAGACTCCAACAGCAATCAGTGGAAAAACTGTGGAGTAGATTAAATGGTTAAAACACAAATACTGAATGACGGAACAGGGAAATGTGCAAGAATAAAGGCATTCGTAGAAATAATTACAGAGGTAGAGTTTTTCGACATTTTTAAATTAGCGGCTGTGTACCCTTGGCGCGGCTCACGAAGTTTGCTCGGTTGTGGATAGAAACCTTATATAGTAACATTTTACAAACAATATACCTTAGCACCTCCCCCAGCTGACCTCAGTTTTGGCGTAACATTTTAATTAACAACTAAATGATAATAAATAAATTATAAGAACTAAATCAATAACTAAATTCTATTTTGTCACCATTGCTAAAAGTTGTAAATGGAAGAAAATTCAGTTTCAACTCACTCCAACCAATGATAAAGAAGAACTTTAGTCTGGTCGAGTTCTTATTTTTTCCTGTAGCAAGAGTCATGAACAGTTGAAGTCCTTCACAAACTGCCCAACAGAACATGGCGATGAAGAAAAACTGAAGTAAAGCTGCTACAATGGTACAAACCGCCTGGAAAGAAAGAAAACAAGATCAGGATCAGTTGAGTAGCAGGTCGAGGGATTGGTCATAATAGTCACTGAAGTAACAGTTTTAAACGAAAATGAGATTTAGAAGACTTTTAGTAAATAAAAGTATTATTTCGCTGCATATGAAATTTGAGCTGCTATGATCTCGTTATAGGAATCAAACATACAGGAAAGCACATGACTGCAAAATAACGGATGCAAATTTTTCAGGTCTTCCGAATAGCTCGCAGGTAACAATATGTATTCCTAGGAGGAGAGAAGAATCGCAAGAGAGAAGTGTCTGTCTTGTCCAGGAAAAGGACAAAGCGAGGTTAAGGTTCGTTCCGGGACTCCTACATAAGGAGATCAGCATACCAGCTACCAGGCCACCTTGTTACCACAAAAGTTATACAATATGACTTTCCTTATACTCACTGGAATTTTCGTCAGTCTGAGCCCACCAAGGAAAAGGGCTATGCCAGCGGCTATGGCCAAACAAAGGTTGATGTGTATAATGGACCGTTCGTAACGACGCTTGCTGAAAATGAGGAAAAACAGACAGGGAGGTTGATCCCACTGAGAATCGAATGAGGAAGTGAGAGCAGACAAGTAATATATGTACACATTTCAGTAAAATTTACGTTTGAGTACTGACCAGTACAGGTAAAGGTGCCGTATCAGTGCCAGAACTACAGCTAACAACAGCACTCCACAGCCGATGTATATTTTTAGGCCAAAAACTAGTTCCTAGAAAGAAACGAAAGAAGAAAAAATTGAAAGAATGTGTTCAAAATCATGCAAACTCACACCATGTTTTATTTATTTATAGCACTGTTAGAGGACATAGACACTGAGATTAACCGTGGATCATCTTCCTTTAATTTCTCACGTAAAGCCGCAAAACAAAGACGGAGGTCTTCGTCTCAGTCTCTTAAACTATTTTTTCCATGTGAGTGCACAGCTCTTTCAAACAAATGATTTGTCTTAAAATTTGTGACGATTTCTTGGCTTTTTTCTTGCCAGGAGTGATCTAAATCCACATTCCCGTTTTCTTGATTATTTTCAAATAAACGTTAAAGCTTTGTTTCATTAACAAAAACATTAAGCTGTTTTGTTAAAAAAAGAAAACCTCCCAGTCCCTAATAAGCACCCTGTCTCGAACAAGCGTCCTCCCTTGAGGTACCAAAAGTAAATAAGCGCCTCGGGCGCTGAATTGAATCATTATGGCACACCCGAAAGTTACGTTTTACAATTACAGAGAAAAAGTAAGTAATATTAGTAACAGTTTTTTTTAGATGAAAAAATAATCTTTGTGAAATATTGTCAAGAAGTGACAAGCTCAGACATGGCTTACTCTGTCTACTCTACTGAGTAGCGAACTTTGGGTGGCTCTAGACCAAACTCTCTACCCCCTCCCCACCCTCCTGCTACTCGTAACCCGTTAAGTGAATGCGATTGACGCTTACCTTGTCATAGACAGACAGCAAGGCAAAGCTGGTCAGGTGATCACATGCGCATACTGTGCCGTTACTACCGCTGGACAATATTTGACAGCCATCAGATGACCAGCTTCCTCCGAGTTCCTTGGATCTAAGGGAATATATCAAATCATTAAATCACGCTCGTTGTTTCCTTTATACTCTGCTTCAATGCTGAAGATCTTCGCCTCGAAGATACAAGGCATTCTACAGAAAGTTCACCCCACCCACCTCAGTTTGCAATGAGTACGAGGGTTTCATGTTTAAGATTCAAATTGGTGACGGCTACAGGCTACTATGTGTTATTTTACATTATTTGGAGGCAACTTACTTTTCAAAGTCCCAGTAGACGCATTTATCTACTGCTTCCACATCTGATGGCTAGAAAATAGTAAATTAATAATAGTAATAGCAACTTAGTAGTTAATAATCAAGGTCTTTCTAGAGATTTCTTCCAATGGTAGCAAACAATTGGCGAGTGTAATAAAATAAAATACAGAATAATGTGATATGCGATGAGAAATGATCCGCTCGAGCTAGGAACTAGAATTACATGAAACAAAACTAGGTGAAGAGCGCTTCTGCCAAATTAAAATTTCCGACACGAATTAATATTGTTTATGGAAAAAATGTGGTTTCCTCATATTTGTTCAGCTGAAAATAGCTTCGGTAGGAAGGTGGCCGTATGAAAGACCAGTTTTCGTTAAGTTGACTTCGGCTACAATCGTTGAAGAAGTAGAAAGACTACCTTTTTATTCCTCATTGTAATGGTGACAGGCGGGTCCAGTTTCCCCTCGGAAGGAACAGGAGATAAGGAGCTGGACACTATCGGCGAACTCACATCAAATCTGCAAAGCAATAATATAACGGATTCATATTGCTAAACAACCAGAGAAAATGATGGTCCCATTTAATTCTCCAGTAAAGGTTGAGGTTAGGGTTAGGGATAGAATGAAAAGTTTACAAGCTTACCTCTTTATTCCCTCTCCTCTCTTTGGCAGGAGTTCACCCAAATCTTCGAATAAAAAACTCGTCACTTTAACGGGCAAGTCACCTAAAACATAAAAATAGTATGGAAAAAAAATTATAAGATAACATGACACTGATCTTTACAGTTCAACAAACATGACGAGTTGTTTACAATTCAAAAGTACTTATTAAGGATGCGTAACCTTTGTATTTGGCAAACAATTCTTGGGGCAAACGAATCTGCGCTGAGCCATCGTTGCTTTGTTTCGAGCTTTGAGGATACTCTACATCAGTCGAAAATTTGTTCGCATCTTTAACCATCACTTTCATTCCTACAACCACAAGAGGAAAACAAAAGTAAAACTTTGAAAAATCAAAGCTTTTGTTCCAGTATTTCAAAATCCTCAAACCTATCGTAAAACCTGTCTTTAAGTGAAATTAACCCAGCCTTGATCATGTAATTGTTCCGCTATAAATTACAAGGACAAATTAGAAGATGAAAAAGTCCGGTTTTTCTTACATACTGAATTGAAGATTAAAGAAAATGTCATATTCTGTTCACCACTTCTCTGTACTCTGTTTCCGCTCGTAACTGAGCGCAACCACAATCAACTGAAGATATTTTAAAGGACTGAAAATGTTTCACTCAACCGTTTTATTGCCATGCTCACCAATATTATTCGTTTTAATATCAACAGTGGCATTCTCAGAGCTCTGTTTCTCCAGATCTGAGGCGAGCTTCATAGCAAACTTGTCTAGTAACGCCATTACCTCAGTTACGCCCTTTGAGTCCTGTAACAATAAAGAATTTGTTTGCTATTTTGAGGAGCTACGTCATGTAAACGAGCAGAGCGTGCGAATATCATTATCTACTGAGACCTTCACTTGATTCATGTACATTAAAAGCGATCCTTCATCTTAAAAATCACCTAGCCTCGTTTAGAAAAAAGTTTCCTACATCTAAGGCAACCCTTGTCTTTAGTAAACTACTTTTTCGACAGGATTTTGTTTTGTCTCTCTATAAGAGTGGAAAAAAGCTTTCTCAGTGCAGAGATAGGAAGTTACTGCGGCTCTGTTAAGATCTCGAAACTAATTTTTATTCAGTTAGTCTACGTACCTTTTGCACTTCACTCCATTGCTCTTTATTTTTCTTATCCAAGATGTGACTAGAAATTTGAATGACTTGCTGGAAAAATGGTGATAACAACAACATTATAATCAAGGTACCGGCGACACATATCACATACAGGCCTAACATATCAAACTGTAAATTAGGAAACATGACGAATAAGCAGCCATAGTGTTAGAGGAAGAAAAACGTATAATTTTCCTTACTGCATACGGATACAATTAAATATCAATGATTTAGGCCAAACAAAGGCCGTACAAAGGCCTTGTTTCGGACAAGCTGGGGCCGTCTATCCTTTGCCACAGAAATCTAATGGTAAGATAGTTTCCACAACGACACAGTAACAGCCCTATATAGTTCACCTTGGCAGAAGCCATTCGTTGTGTGGAATTCAGATTTGACAGAACAGTGTCCATCCCCATGACAATCATGACCAGGTCACCCGCCATCGGTTGTCCGGAGCTTGGGGCGGAGGAATTTAGTACAGTAGCCAGTAGATCCTCGGCACTGATGTTTTCATCGTTAAATTGTTTAAGCTGTTCAAGAGAAAGGAAGGATTCAATTACAAAAATAAAATTCCAAGAAATTCAGAAAATCGTTTGCACCAAGAACATATAAGTCGACGGGCTTCTTGAGTTTAACGTCTCATTGTAAGTATTCTGGTGGGAGATACAAACATTTCAGTGAACTTTTATCGAAAAAAGAACTCTTACTTTTTCGTTCAGATCAGTCATCTTGGCTGAGTACTTCCACACTTTCCCATCCGATCCAGTAACAAGTCGTGTTTTCTGCTCTGCAAATTATATAGATCGACAAATTCATCAATAACTAAACAAATTACCTAATATGTTTTTTGTTTCATGGGTGCTATTTACGTATTTTACAAGTATTGTTAAAGCTTGTAGCTGAGTAAATAGCCAGTGATCAGATTTGCGACATATTTCACAAAGAACTGTATGTAACTGTTTTAATTTGTACCTTTACATTCCGTTACGTCGTCTCCTTCGAATCTTTCCTTGCATCTGCACGTGAATGAGCCAACAGTATTGACGCAGTCAGCATTCTTGTGGCAAGGAGAGCCCTCTTCGCATTCATTTTTGTCTGATAAACAAGATATTGCTAGTCAAAAGTTGACATAGTGTGACTTCATCTTAACAGTACATAAGGGAAGTCGATGTTAATGAACTAAGATAAAATGAAGTTGTCATTTGTGATTCTTTCCCACAAAGCATCCGAATTGGTGAATTTTCCCGAGTACAAAACAGTGACTCCATTTACTCTGTGAAACTTATCTGTCGGCTTAAGTAAGTGAGCTTAGTAAATAGTTTATTGTATAGCACTCGGACTAAAACCTTTTCATTTTGAATTTTCCGGCTTTCGCGACCAAAAATATACGGCTTATGACTGTTTCCGTGGAAACAGTCCGTGTGGCAAAATACGAAGGACTAGCTTGCCATATTATTGTATGTTATTGTGAAGATGAAAATATTTCTGTTTGATTGACTCGAGCGGATATTTCCAGCGACATTTCAATTATCTGCGATTCAAGATATGTGTTTCTTCACCTTGACAAGACGGATTAGGAGTACTCCATTCTGTGTCTTTGCCACAAGTTACACTCGACACATCTGAATCCGCCAGTTTATATCCCAAGTCACAGTTGAGCCAAACTGTCTCAGCAATACGATAAGTCGGTTTATTAGGCATCCATTCTCCGTTATCGTCGTCCGATGGCGGTAAACAAACAGCTGAAACAACACCAGGGAGAATCGTGTAAATAGTTATTGGTGAATGCCTTATGGACGAAAGGATGGCTTTTCCGTCTGCCGTTTAAATAAATCCATGCAAATGTCAGTAAAATGGCGTGTGAGAGATGCAAAAGAACAACTTGTCCATATAGGTATAAATAAAGCGTCTTATTTAGAGAAAGAGGGGTGTTGGAAAGTAGTGCGCTTGTGACCTAAGGCTAATCAGAGTAGGACAGTGAGAGATAACCAAAAAAACATAGAACAATAAAAAGAACTGAATGTAGATATGTAAACAGCAGCATTAACTGATGGGAAGGGGAGAAGGAGTGTAAGAGCATAATAGCCTCCGTCATTTTCGGGAAGTTTTTGGAAACGCGTAACGCCATTCTTGGTTTGGAGTTGCGCTTATTTATCCCCTTGAATTTGTCTCCAAGGTTAAAGTAAATTAAGGCTCTAGATGCTTCTCAGGAGATATTTTCTTAAATGATACGATTCCTATTTATTAGTGCAGGCCGTCTTCCTCGTATCACAATCTGAGGCCCTTGCTAAGAAGTGCAAGGTGACGAAATCCTACTCCCTTCTTTCGTCCTACAATCTACCAAGAGAATATCGTTGATATTCTCTTGTATCTACCTACCAGTGCAAGAAAATCCATCACCAGCATATCCCCTCGTGCATTCACACCTGTATGAGCCCAAAGTGTTCACACAACGGGCTTTGTCATGACAACTTCGAAGCTTGGTGCTATTCTGGGTACTTGACGGTAATGAAAGGATCGCACATTCGTCGAGATCTGGCCGGAAATAAACATTTGAAACGTGATTAAAAGTTTTATCTTGTTAGCCTCTAGACTCTGAGAGATACCACAGCCATCTACCTTTTAATATGTTGTAAACTTTTCTGAAGCATATAAACTTAAGTGACAGGAATTTGCGCAGAAGTATTTTTAATCTAGATGTGGCTGTAATGAACTGACCAAGGGCCGGCAATGAAGCGAAGAGCGACTGAGAGCATTTTGGTTGCCTTTGTTAAGAACTGAACGTACTACAATGAATTAAGTCAGGCTTAGGGTGGCCAAGGAAATATATGGCGTACAATTGTTAGCCCGAAAACCTGAATGCACTCCATGGGAATACCACCTAATTTTTCCCGATTGTAACATATCCCCTATCCTTACTCTCTATTCACATAAAATTGATTGACCCTGTTTCATACCGTTACATTGGGGAAAGCGTTTGTTCCAATTCCCATCTGCCTTGCAAGAAAGATTTCCATCTTGTTTTTTCTCAAAACCTGGCTTACAATCCACGATGACCTTTTCTCCAACAGCAAAGAACTTGCGATCTGGTCGGTGAAATGCATTGGGTTGAGAATCAATTCTACAGGCAGCTGAAATGCAAATATGAAGAACTTATAAATTCACCGTAAGACAAGGCAAACGTTCTCATGCATGCATATTAAGACATCACCAGTGTTGACCGACCGACCGGCTGACCGACCGACTGTCTGACTGATTGATTGAGTAACTGGGTGACTATCAGACTGACTGACTGGTTGATTGATTGCCTCAGTTATAACAAATGAACTTACTGTAGACACTTATTGTAATTTTAGCTGCGGCCGTCTTCACAATGTTGGTTGCTGAGCAGGTGTATTGACCTTCATCAGACTTTTGGATGTTTCTGAGTAATAAGCTGCCATTTTTTAACTGCTCTGTTGGCGTTTGCGCGGAACCAACTTTGGTCCACCTGATGGTTGGCACAGGGTCCCCAACGGCTTGGCAGTTGTACACAGGAGAGCTCCCTGATGGTTCCGCTGAGCCGAGAGGCTGGATTGTGAATCTAGGGGGAACTACATGAAAGATGTAAGTTTAATATCAGTTTAATATTTATTTATTTTAAAGTTTAATATCAGTGGTATGAATAATTTGAAAAGTGGATAGCTTTAAGCAGGACATTTTTCAAATGAACATTCAGAGTGATCCGGAATTGCACTGGATTCGTTTCCTTTCACTCGGGCAATGACTCAGGGAAATCGTACCATCCTCTTAACTACTGAAATACAAAACGCAAACCAACCAAGACAAGGTTACTCACGTTTTCTCGACATTGGGGTAGTTTTAATAAGTTTACCATAAAATTTTATCAACTGCCCCTGATTTTTCCCGCGTTTTATTTCGTCGATGTGATTAGCTTGGTTTGGGGAAAAAAATGACTGGGAAACTTGGGAAATTAAAGACCAACTAAATTACCGAAAGGCAAAGTTTTTTGAAAGTGGTTTGAATTCTGCAGCTGTAATTTTTAGATTTAAAGTAAATGTACTGGCACGGTTGTATGACAGTTCAAAGTAGTTCAGTCCCTTTAAGTCCCAAAACACAGAGCACATCCTGATATAACCCTTTACATCTCTAGAACTTACCCAGCACCCGCAGAAAAGCTGTGACGTTGTTGAATCCTATGGGGTTTTCTGCTCGGCAGTGATAAAATGCTTCATCTTTTTTCTGAACACTGCGTATATTCAAAGACCCGTTGGGAAAAATGTTGAACCTATTGTCCAACTTAAGAACAGACGTCGAAGTAGAAGATCCTTTTACGAGTTGAAACCAGGAATACTTTACTCCAAGGTCACTGGTTGCTTTGCAATCAAACATGACTGAATTGTTTACCGAAGTTGTTAAGTCGCTAGGACGTTTCACGAAATTAGGAAGCTCTGCAAGGTAATAAAGATCACATGATAGTAAAAATGATGTCCCTTCTTTGTTTTCCATGATTTTCCGCGCTAAGTATAAACCATAACGTCTTTAAAGGGAAAATTTCAGACAGCTATGCTGTTCTTCGTCGAGAACTTGATAAAAAACAAAACTAGCTTTGTTGCAAATGCATCTGCAGACCTGAACACGTTTTAGGTGAGTTACGCAGTCAAGATAAGACGCAATTTTCATGGATAGAAATTAACAAATGTAAGCAGGTAACACCCTTCTTTTCTAAGTTAAAATCCAGGAAAGTGTTCCTAGAAGAGTGTGCAGAGAAAGATGGCCTGAAAGTTGTTCTAAAACTGTTAGCTGGCTGCTGCAGATCGGAACTGACCAATCACAACTGACGAACATCACTTACGTCCAACAGTCAACAATGTTACAAAACAACTGACGGATTGAGTTGCGCGACCTATTCGTATTATACCCGTCCGACTATTCCCTTAATCCAAAATAAATTGATGTTAGTGCGCGGCGAGGATCTGTGGGAGTGAGGCCTGAGAGTGAGGCACTCATACTGCAACTTTTACAGTATATTTTTCCCTATCTAACCAACTACCATGAAAAAAGCTGTTGTGCGCGCTTATAATTACTAACGAAAGTCGTTTACATGAAGGCTATTAATCGAACGATAATATTACAAGAAAGACTGTCAACCCTTTACACCCTTACATCAGTATGCATATTCTCTATACTGTTCCCTACACGTTTTTTAACTTTCTGACAAGGAGAACTTGTTTAAAAATCGAGAGCTTCTTTAGTTGGTGACCATTTCCTTTATTCTCATGACCTTAATGTGTGACTCAGGTGTGATACTGTTGGGAGAAATAAGGTGCGAGTCACTCCTAGGGGTTAAAGGGTTAAACGGTTGTTCTTCTTACCAGCAACTTTAACTGTTATGTCCTGTAACTTAATCCCTCCAGAATTGACAGCTGTGCAGTAGAAGTCCCCTTCATAACTTTTCTTGGCCTTCCTCACAAACAACGATCCGTTAGAAAATGGCAGAAATTCCAGATCAGGAAGGTGCTCTCCATTAGGCCACGGTAGAGTTTTTGTCCAAAACAACTTTGCTCTTGGATCGGAAATAACTTGACAGTGGATCCAGCCTGGTTTATTAAGAGTAAGGTACTGTGGACTATTCCTCTTGAACTTTGGTGAGATTGGGTGGAGTCCTGTGTGATATATAAAACAAATGCAATTTTTTTCTTTTTTCCACAAAGTTCGTTTTTTTTTTGTTTCACCCTTCCTAAAAGGAAGCCGGCCGAGGATCGACAAAAGCTCAGAAGTTTGATTAACCAAATAAAAGCTTTAGCCTCAACTGAAACCACATCTATAATATACTTAGATATTTCAAACACATTACATATGAAAAACGATCATTTGACGACGTACCAGACTGTGTGGTTTCAAACAAATAAGGAGAGCTACAATTAGACAGAATCAAATTTTTTCCAGCATCCACTCTGACACATAATCCGCTGGCTTGATGGCTGATTGCAATAGTACCATCAGGATTCTCCCGTTTTGCAAATGTATCACAAAGTCCATCTCTCAAAGCAAGCTGATCTTTTGCATTCTTAAACACACACTTCCCACTACAGCTGTGAATAAGGCTTCCATCGCGACGAAAAGCCATCATCACTCCCTCTCCCTGACAGAAGGACTGCAAAGTGAACAGAGAACCGTCTGATATTTCGCAAGGATTGGAAATCGTACGTGGAGACCAGCAGTTTTTGGTTGAGCTACTTCGAATGATGACAGAGACGATATCTGTGACGAGACAAAGTACATCATTTGATTAAAAAAATAATTCCAATGTACGTTTCAAGTCGACAGCTCTTTACACATTGTCCATTGACGCTCTGTTATTCTGTTTGAGTCACTTGCATGTCATCCCGTCTTCACTATTTACACTAGTGTAAGCAGTAACGGTTCATTTTCGACGTGGGTCGAAAGGAATAGAACTGAATTGAAATCCTGTCTAAGGATACCTGGAATAAAAAACTGGAGGCTTTACAGAGACCACGGTTGAGAACGAACGCTAATCAAGCTTAGCTTTTGGATTCTTTGCGTAGAGGACGAAACGGATAGCCTTTTAATTGCCCTGATCCCAGCTCATCCCAGCCAATGATTAATGAACTGATCAGACCTTCTTTTAAATGGTTTTACCTGTAACACATCCATATAATTCGGCTCGTAAGCAGATTGTGTTTGTAGGACTGCTATACAATCCCGGTTTAATTCTTACATAGCGTGCTCGAAATCTCTGATTAAACCAGTTTGTAACCACATTATGCTGGTCTACATTGCCATCAAATGCCTGAAAATATACATGAAAAGAAGGATCAATGTCAGTATCTAAGAAACTGCACACCTACCCCTCCCCTATTACAAGAACACGGAAGATTAGGTGCACAGTTGCCCAGGTACTATACTTGATAGACATACTAATGAATCTTACGTGACCAAAGTGCTTTGGAGAGAGCTCTTAAGTTATTTTTGATATTGTTTTTGATTTTAGTTTTTATATTGTGTTATCTTCAGTAGAGGTCAGACAAGTTATCAAAAATTTGTAACAATCGATTTAGCTGCGTCACGCTCAATAATCTGTTCAAGCAACAGCAATCATAGATATCATCTTAGCTTGAATCTAACAGCTATAACCATGTACCATCCGGTAAGTTGTAGAATTATCGAATCGAAACTGAATGACCTCATGGGCTTTACATCTTAAAGATAACTTCTCCTCATCATTGTCTACCAGGTTTCAGATCCCTTTTCATCCAAACTTACTCCCAACCATTTCAAGTCTCTCAACACTCACCCTGTCATGTCCAAACTCCTTGTAATCCTTCCAGTTTGTTCCATCCGTACTGTGCTGAATGGAATATTTTACTACCCAGTTAGGCGCGTCAATTTGTCCTTGGGTGGCCACACCCGACAATGTCATCTCTTTGTTTAGATCAATCTGAAGGTATTGGAACTTGTCAGATGACTGTGCACACCAAGCCCCACCCATGGCCCCAGAAGGCTTATTATTCAATCGGCCATATTCTGCTTTGAAACTCTTGTCTTTGCCAATTTTCTGGCTCGATGCTGTGATTTGACCATTCGAAATTGAACCATTCGCCATGCCCAATGGATCATAACAAGCTGCAGAGAAAACAACACATAGGCAAGTAATGAACGATCTTAGTTATCCCAACAATGGTCGTCATTACATTAATTATCCTGCTATGTGAAGGTGTAGTAAGAATATTGTCTTACTCTTAATTCCCTCTTGAGGACAATAGTCCAACTCCACAGCCAGATTCCCACCATGCGCTCTGCAACCTCCGCAATACCCCCCGCATTCTGCAGAAACCTGCGTGCGATCCTCATCAATGTCCAGTGAGTTCTCGATATCTGAAGGAGTACCATATGGCTCCCAATAAACCTCCTCCTATGTTTGACCGTGAAATGCAGAAATAGTGGGTTATTATACTTAATTAATCGAAAGATTAGGCAGGTAAGCAACTTTCCTTTTAAGTGTCATCAAGAGTCAAATCAAAATAAAAGTATTTTCAACGGCCAGTCAGATCAAAGTAAAAATATTGGAACGAGCCAATGAGAACTCAAAGCGAATGTCGAATGAGGTGCGAGTAACCGTGCCAAAAACTCACCTTCAGACGGAAGCCAGTCCCCGTGAGATCAATTTGAAATTTTCCTTTTCGGCAACTTTCTTTGCTGGCGGAGTAACAATCACCCGCTTCTCCGTACTTGATACGTTTTCCAGAGCTTGTTGTAGAGTAATAGAAGTCATCTGGTACAATACTCATAGAGTTCAGATCCACGAGAACTTTGGAGAAGTTGGTTAACCCTGCCTCAGTGTACATCGAGCCACCTGTGGAGGTATGAGTCGAATATTACAATGTGACTCTAACTAGTATGGGGCCATGAATTCATAAAACCTCTTCTATCGTACGCCTGTATCTCAGTCTTACCTTCGGTGATTTTGATCAAATATCGTGACTGATTCTGTTACGAAAATATCCCAACCTCACGTATACCTTAAAGAATACAATTTTGCTGTATTTAGGCTACAACAGCGTTGCCATATGTAGAAGAAAATTGTAGCACGGGTGATTTTTAAAAGTACGAAAAAATAACTCAAAAAAACCTAAAAAAACAGTTTAGGTAGAGATGAGCTCTAAAATAGTCAAACAACTTGCCTTACGTGTCTTTGTTTTCATACACCTTCTTACTACGACTTACGAAGCATTTAGGTGTCAAATGTTTAATGTAATCAAGCGATAGGAATGTAAAAGAATCCACGTAACCGTTGTCTTACCACTGGCCTTTACGCATTTGTCTCTGGAAGCAGACGGCTGTTTGTAGTCGTGAACATAAGCGTAGTTTTTGCTTTGCCCAGATATAAGTGTAATGTATTCTTTAGGAGAATCTGTGGCCATTCCTCGACAGAATAACCGCACGTGTGTATCACAATTTGCGCTAATTTCCATCGAGTACTCTTTATCTTCGTTGGAGTTCTGCGCAACTTTGACCAAAGCACAGCCTCCTGCAAACAACAACAACAACAACAATATTAACGACCGTGTTTGATGATACAGGAATAATTATTAATTCAGAGGAGGTCGCTATCTCTACCTTAAAAAGTGTAAATACTTTCCTGAAAAAAATTTCTTTAAAACCCCACGCCTAAATACTACCGCTTTTTCCGGACTGAAGCCTTCAGAGAATCATATAGAGACTAAAAGTTTGCTGAGGCCCCATTTGACGTGCATCAGAATCCAGGCCCGTTTTGATTATCGAACAGTTGCTTGGATACCTTAGTAGCTGGGCGGCATGCAAAGCCCTCAACCAGATGGATTGCTTGGAGACGAGGCCTGATAACGGCTACAGGGAGACTAGGCACGACATGCAAGCTTCCTATCTATCCCTCGCTATCATTTTCAAGAGAGGAATTATATTATACCACTTTCATACTTACGACAGAAGTCCCAGAGCTTGAGTGAAGCGATGTCTTTGTCACGTAATCTATCTGGCTTGTAGCAAGTCCCAGTAAATTTTGCGAGGTGGCGAGTAGCATTGTGGAGACCGTAAAGCTGACAGTCGCAAGTCAGCGGATTTCCACTCAAGTATCTGAAAAGGGTAACTCACTTTCAACAAAAAACATAGGCCTTCAACTTTCCAAATGCTACACTAGTTATAGAGGAAATACTGAACATTTTCATAAACGTGAAGGCCAGAACAACTGCTGGTACAAGATGAAACAGTAATAACTTACACTTCTTTCAGATTGGGTGTGTTTAGGAATAAGCTTGAAGGCACGATCTTCAGCCGGTTGTTTCTTAAGTCTCTGCAAATATGAAAAAGCTGAGTTACTGAAAAGCCACGTCAAAGGGTTAAGTTTCTGAAGATGAAACTACAACACCTCGAACACAGATTTTTTCAAAAGCAATTTTAACAAGGACGATGGAACGAGCATTCCTATGAGCAACTAAAAATAAGGTCCGTTCTGTTGGGGTTCTGGGTACATATCTCAACACTGGC